CTTTTAGACATATAACTTTCACATCTTTAAGTTATTTTTCTGATGATTCATCATGTATTTGTTTAAATCTTGTAGGTGTGTTCTTTTCAGCCAATCAAAAACTTTACCAGAATTTCGGTAAGCCTCGTTTTGGCGTCACAAACGATAAAACGTATCTTTACCAGACCCTCTGGGTGGTCGGAGATTTACGGAGACAGCCGAGGGTCTGGTTGAACGAGACTATATGATGAAGAACATACCCAAAAGATTAAAAAAAAGATTAAAACATATACCTTTCGCCTCTAACTAATGAGAGATAGGTAATTTTACCGATGCTAATATTCTTGACCTTTTTGCACTTACACGGGATTTAATTATTAAATGACTGGGGTTACTTTCAGATTAAAAATGTTTATCTAAAATTGTACTTTTTATTTAAAAAGATCATATTTAATAGAAAAATTGTAATCAAACACCAAGAATATGAATAAGTAACAAATAATTATGAAAAGGAATGCACATCATTTCATGATGTACAAAAAATGTACACACGATCTACAACACGTACATCTTTGACTCTTAAGACACATTTCATCAAGATATTACAATACTTAGTTGGCAAATATTTTTTAAAAGGATTTTTGCATTCCTTCAAAATAGTGACATACCATTCATATTTTTACAGTAAGTTGTATACAATGTACTTTGTAATTTCATTACACAAGATAATCTTGGATTTGTCAACTTAATTAAGGCCAAGATCTAGTAAATGAAAGGTGCTTACAGGTTTCTCTAATTCCATAAATATATTGTTATAAAGCATTTTAACCAGAAAATATATAAATTGAATTAAGTATATCGGCATGATTTTAAATTGAATTCTGTGAATTTCAAAATGCAGTATTTTCTACCATTTCTATTGAAGCTGTAAAGTACGGGAAAAAAAGTGACATTGAATTAATTATGACGTCATAATGGATCTAGCACAGGCTAGACACATTCACTAGTTATGATGTCATACGACGTAGGTTCTACGTTAGGGCCTAAATAACTTCTCTGAACTACCTAGATATGACGTCATAATAGAATATGACGACAAGTCTGTGCATACTTGAGCTTACATGACGGGAATTGTTTTATAAACTTTACATGGTATGTCAATTTTCTTTGGGCATTAGAATTCATGAATCTTGCTTACATTTGACCGGCACGAGTGATAAACAAGGATAGACTGAAGATATTCTATGTGATTCTACAAGAGAAGTATGTCCTCAAACTGAGTTTTGCTCGGGGATTGTATGTAATTTATCCATTTTTGTTTAAATCGCGATAAAGTGTGGAAAATACCCCTTCTGATGTTGGTTTAGTTGAATTTCTTGTAAAATATTTTCTTAAAAACTAAGAATTCAACCTGCCCCAGCACATTTTATGCACTGGAGATCAAGATGCACTGATATATGTAACAAACTTCACACAAAAATTTTGTTTTGCACTTGTGCCGAAGCGATTTTTTAAAGAAAATCATACATGTCCGTCACGTGATCAAACCAGTCATGTGACATCACAAACATGCTAAAATGCTTTATTATAATACCTTATTAAACTATTATCTCAAGTCGACTGCAAATTCAAACAAGGATTACATATTGAAATTAAAATCTAGCTCAAAATAAAATGTATATTTTTAATGCCTTATCATAAAGGATTCCCACGGTGTCTGACACATCTGTTTCATACCTGGATATCATACTTGGAAAAGACGTTAATGGTAATCTAACAACCAAGCTTTATGATAAACGTAATGACTTTAGTTTTTCTATCGTCAACTTCCCTTACTTATGCAGCAATATACTTTCATCACCTGCATACGGAGTATATTTCATATCTCAGTTGATTCGATACGCAAGAGCATGCTCTACGTATGAACAATTTCTAAAAGAGGTAAATTATTTACTAGCACGTTGATGAAACAAGAATATCAGCAGTCTTGTTTAAAGTAATCATTTCGTAATTAAGTTCTATGGTCGATACAGTGACAGCAAATACAATTTATCATTGAGTCAAATGCTGACTGACGTTTTTCATACTAATTGTTAGAGAAAGAGTCTTTGCACTAAAATATCGTCAAAAATTTTGTTCATATATTTTTTTTATTACATCTTCGTTATGTATATATCTTATGTGATGCAATTTTTAAGCCTATATATATATATATATATATATATATATATATATATATATATATATATATATATATATATATATATATATATATATATATATATATATATATATATATATATATATATATATCTTATACATGTATGTTTAGGACAAATGATATAAACTTAAAATAATCATATAATATTGACTGTCTTAGTTATGTTTACATGAGTAAAATTAATACGTTTTTCTATACAAAACTATATAAAATTATTTTTGTCTTTGTAATCAGACATTAGCATAATGTCCTATAAAACCTTATAGATTTATAATAATGCTGATCGCAAAAAGTGGAGTCTTGAACAGCAAAGAATTTTTTTTATTTAAAGAATTACTGTCATATATGAAACATATAGAAAAAAATAATAATGGCCTTCAATTGCTTCATCATCTTAAATAAGCCAATATATCTTTTATTTCTTATACATGTATTTACATTTTCTTGATACAATAAAATCATTCGCGTGGTCGTGGACCCATCCACTCTCTCTTTCTCTCTCCATGTGGTCTTTTCATGTTCGGGTAAGCAGGAAAACATATAACATTCAGTGAAAATAATTGTGTAATAATTTTATGGAAAATGCAAATCTACATTCGACTGATTGATAGATTGTAAATGCTGACAAGGGCATTGTATTGACCATAGAATATAGGAAATGTTGACCTTAAGCTTCCTTTTAGAGACTGTTCGTACGTAGAACACGCTCTTGCATATGGAATCATTAAACATCCTGGTAATTTTTTTAACCTTTAATCGAGGTTGGCGACTGTGTAAACTGCAAATGCATTATAGCTCAAGATAACAAATTCTATTAAAAAAAAAATCAAGGGAAATCCCTCTGTCTCAAGTATGAAAGCCACAACGGATTTTACGCTATCATACAAAATATAATAACCTTTTTCAGTAAGATTTATTCATTTAAAAAATACGTAGTACCTAGTTCTCTTGGTCAAGTTTTGAAAGACCATCTCCGAAAACTACATAAAGGTTGATATTGTGGAACACCAGCATCCCTTAAATATCAATTTCAGGATGCTCGAGTGTAGTATCAGATTGACTTTTGTTTATTCACAATTACAAGATATCGAGAAATAATTTATCATAGAGTATTCATTTTTATCCATACATAAAGACGTATTATAACAACATAAGCATGAAATTCAAGTTCAAGTTCATTTATTCACTCAAAACCATTTAAAATACATGGTACATGAGGACAATGAAAAATATTTACAGCTTATGTGCTCTTAAATGCGGGCAATAATGAACAACTCAGTTCGTATGTACATGTACCTGAAGCACATTTGCAGCTCTGTTCTGCAGCCATTAAAATGATAAAGCGAGTGTTTGTGAATAGAGCATTTATTACATTACAAATGCCAAATAAAATGAAAAATTTTACAATTTCAGAATGCAGCAGAAGGTGGGGTGCAAAAAATATCCCACACCTTAAACACAAGAAAATCAGTAATCTGAACAATAATAAAAATGTGCATGGAGGTTTGAAGGGGGGTGGAGGAGGGTAAAATTTTCAAACCACGTTCTTTGGAGCCAAGCGGAATTATGAATATGGGTTAGGCTAATAGCCGTAAATAGAGGGCGCTTGGAAACTATAACCCGGAAAACCCCTCAAGACCCAAACATTCATACACATTATTAGTAAATCAAAATACAAAAACTTTGAGCATTTAGATCCCATAAATTCCTTTACATACATAAATACACATATGTACATTCAGGTCAGAGGTACATGTATTAGTGTATGATATAACATAATAAGACAATGAAATGGGAGAAAAAGAAAAAAAAGAAAATGGAGAGAAAAATGAAAAAAATGGAAAAGGGGAGGAAAAAACACATGATAATGAGATAAGTGAGGAAAAAAATTATGGAGGAAGACTAAATCATATATTTTTAATATAAACATACAGAGTTTTTTAAGTGACATACCATCTTGTTTTGTCATCAGTTGAGAAAATTTAAGAATATTTGGTCTAGTAAAATAGCATTCATTAATATATCAAGCATACGATTCTTTATTACATATACAATTTATGTTTGTATAATAAATCCTGAACAAATTATAACTAATTTAATTATATTCAAATAGCCAGAATGCGCATGAAAAATGACAAAACCCCATTCAACTAAAATTATTAACCCGGTTAATAATTTGAGGGACAGAGTGACAAACAACATAACAACAATTGGACAAAACATATGACGCTTTTTTGCCATTGTTTACTTTAACATCAGATCTAAATAGTGGGAGAATAAAAAGAAAGAAAACCTTAATAAATGTAAAGTATTAATTTAAATTATAAATCATAATTATAAAATTATGTAAAACTGTTGAGTATTTAAGATTAATTACACAATTTTTTTTAAATGTTAAGGCAAGAAAAAATATGTCCTAACAACATAAAAATAAGAGGGTTGTCTCAGGAAAAATGAACTTTTTCATGCATGTATATTGTTGGGAAAAATACAATTCAAGAAAATGTGATATATAAAATCAACCCTTTGAAATATATTAAGGATATGCGAAATATATAATAAATCGAGGACATATTTATTTTACATATCCTTTAATACAGAGGTTTGCTTTAATATTTAATTTGTTCTTTATATATACACAAATAGCATTGATGCCAAAAAAAGTCTAAATTCAATGATGACTAAATAAGTATAACCTGACACTTATTTTAATAATTCATTTAATGGCTTTATAAAATACCGTACTCAGCTTTCTAGTCCTTTAAATGTGTTACATCATTATATCCTTCCTTTAACTACATCAGAACTCATTCATTTTGCAAGCTCTTTCTTTTTGTTTTTCTGTATCTGTAAAAAAAAAACATTGATTTTATTGGCATGAATTATAATTTTGTCTCAAATACTTATTTTAAGTCATTGCTCTGTGGAAATAATCGTTAAAAGGTTATTTTTAAAAAGTTATAAGTGTGTACACCTATAGAGTTTCCTAAAGTAAAAAATAAAGTATGGTTTTACAAAAAATCTGTATTTTGCTACAACTATAATTTGTTAATTGGTATATTTTTGTTGCAGTTAATAGTTTCCTAACCTATACTATATATTATCACTATATTAAACATAGGATAATCAGTACTGAAGATGAAGTCAAATAAAAAGGATTTTTTATAGTAGGTCAAGAAAATTAAAGGGTTATTCGGTTTGCTTAGATTCTGGCGTGGCTCTTGCTGGGCCCTCCACTCGAGTTCCAATTACAGAATAAAGTTAAGAAAAAAGATACATATATATATATATTTATATGAGGAGGACGCCCATATTTATAACTGGAATAAATTTGAACCCCATTGTCTCTCATGTTTGCTTCTTTAACTACTAAGCACCATCGACTAAAGGTTTCCGATTTATGTCTCGGGCAATAACAATAATGATACCTATCTTTAAAAAGAAGAAGGCACAGAAAGGGGCATAACTCTTTAATTTTACTTTTTTATGCCTTCATATAGAAAGGTATAAAACAGGGTAATTTGTCTATATTTTCTGAAATAGTCAGAACAAGGGCGACAAAATTGTAAAGATGAATTATTCCAGAGAATGTTCCCCTACACTCCCTCCATTTTTCGAGTAATGTAATGAAAATATAAAAATTGTCCATGTTTATCTTTCACTTTTAAATTATAAGACTATTATCAAGTTCCCAATCAGGTTGTTTGCCAACATTTTATAATACACTGGGGGTTAATTTCATTTTCCTTTGCCTTTTTTAGATTATCCTAATCATAAATTCATTTGCATTTAGTGTTAACACTGATATATAAAATTGTTTATCTAGGTGTAAGTAGTTAACTGAAAAGATAATCTGACACAGTTAGAAAAAAATAACATCCAAAACCTGTAAAAGACTCTGAATAATATTGCTGTTGGATGAAGTCGCAGAACAATTCATCTTTTATCTCTGGATTTAAATCGCCTGCAGAAGTTCCCGTCCTTTCCTGAACATCTAAAGTGAATAAAAAAAAAAATCAGCATTTGAAATGAAATATGAATTCGTTGAAGAAATCTTAAGAATCTGAAAGGTCACTTTTTTCGTGAAAGGTAATAGAAAATGACTATAAAACCTCTAATAGGTATAGCTACAGAATGGCTTACATGCAAAAAAGCTGGACAGAAAGTCTACTTGTGGATCAGGGTCTGTTTGAGTGGCTTTATTGACAGGACCATCGTCGACGTCAGCGGCGTGATCTGAAAAAAATCTTAATTTATTTAGATTTTGTATTTTCAACAAAAACTATCTCATCCAACATAAGAGTTATTTCTTTCCCTGTTTTAAGCTATGAGTTTAATTTCAATTTCACTATATTTTTTTTCTCTTTTTATATTTCTGTGTTTCCTTTCTCAGTTCTTTTTCTCCCATTTACAGTTCGTTTCAGAATTATTGTTGAAGACAAATGAATTTATGGCCGTAGTTTTATCATTTTGATCACATTGTTACCTTCTTTTAATGAGATTGTTATTTGTGAATATCTTTAAAACTCACTTTGTATTTGATGGCGTTTGTTGAAGGACGAATCTGATGGGATTCTGAAATCGAATTCATAGTAAAGATTTATATCGTACAATGTATATTAACTTTGCTTTCTCTTCAAACAGTGCTTAACTAAACTCATAAAACATGTAGTGAAAAGAGTAAGAATTAATCAAATATTATAAGATACATGTAAGTTGATATGTGATTATCCCAAAAATTTCTCTCTCTCTCTCTAAGTCTCTCTCTCTCTCTAAGTCTCTCTCTCTCTCTCTCACACAATTTTATTTACAATGTATTTACCTGTTCAGTGAAATATATAATGGATATCGGAGAGCCTTAAGCTCACACATTTCTCTGTTGTGGTACTTAGTGACTGCTATAAAAGCTGTGTCCTGAATAGGAAAATTAAAAACAGTGATATTGCCATCGCTTTCATGTTTCACTAAGGAAATACACACCATGTATTTCTGCAATGTTCGTAGTGAAAACTGAAAATAGAATGATATAAATATTTGTAAGCATTTCTTCATGGCCGAAATTATTATCCTAAGGAGATATCATTAAAGTTAAAATTTATATCATATTTCATCTCTTAATTTTAGGAAAAGATTTTTCAACGAATTAATTCGCATCTTACTTGCTCCAGTGCTCAACATCAAAAGACGAAAATGAAAAGTTTAAAATATTGAAAATTTTGCGGCAGATTGTTGCTAATACCGTACTTTGTTCTTTATTTTTTATTGTTATATAAGGAAAAACATTGGCAAATGTAATTTTACAATATTAATCCATAAACATTCAACAGACAATTTAATATCTCATTGAAGAAGGTTTGATAATGCCATCAAAAATAATGAGAATTTTTCATGATTTATACACATAGGTTTATCAAAAATCAAAACAAAATCTAAAAATAGGAGTCAATGCGCTGGTTTTGGCGTTACAGAGGATTTAGTTTGTCTTTTTGCACTGCTAATACGTGTTACACATCAATCAATTTTAAAGTTTTTACTCCCAGATAAATTATGGGATCAAACACAGTCTTTTTTCATCTTGAATAGACACATACAATTTTTTAACAAGGATTAAATTTTCAAATTACTCCACATGTTAAATTATTTGACCTTTTTGCGCTCAAACAGTTTCATTTTTCTGGCATTTTCTGACATTTTTCTGGCATTGAAAATCTAACAAACAAAACAAAAACATTTGAAAGTACATGTAAATTACTAAAATAGACAGTGCTAATTTTAATCTTAAATTGGGTTACTTTCCCTTCATTTTCTTAATGTATAAATTTGCTATAGTTTTCAAATACGATGATAAAATTCATGAAAATTTATTCAATTTATTATTATGCAATTATTTAGGACAATTTTAAAGCAGTCCACCGTACAAAATAACTCTGTGGGCAGGATGCATGTAAAAAAAAAAAGAATCCAAAATTAACATACCCGGTACTTTGAATACTTCGAAATAAAAAAATAATCTTCCTCTAAAAAGGAACCCTCCGCCACAAAATATAGTTCCTCACTTAATGCTTTTGTTATGGAATTTAATCATAGAGTTTTAAAGGAACATAGCATTGTAGAATTAAATTCATTGTAAGAAATTAAACATGATGCAGTTTTTTTTTAAAATATAGGTTAAGATGAAAGTCAGCACAAAAGCTTAGGAGCAGACCTATTTAAATGAAAGTTTTTTTTCATAATCCCAGGAACAGCGCAGGGATGAAAAGGAAGCATTCAGAAAACTCTTAACTTGACAAAATCAGTGATGTATTATGACTTTATAGTAACGGACATGACGTCAGTTTTAGAAGACAAGCTTTCACGAAGAACGTGCAAACATTAACAAAAATAAAATCTTTTTATTTTATTATGTTGTATCTGTCATTTTGATTAAAATCTACCACCGATGACGTCAAATGTGTGCATCAAGTAACTTGGAAATTAATCATGCTGTGTAAAGAGAATTTGGCTAACACTGCATTTACATGTACAAAGATGCATAAAAGGGAGTTTAGAAGCAAATATTGTGAATGTTATGAGAAATTCATTCGGAGTAAAAATATATAAAACAGGTATGCTCATTTATTTTCATCGATTATATTTTCTTTCGAAGACAGTAGGTTGGCGTTTCCTCTGTCATTTGGGACAAAAATAATACCTTAGAACATTCCAAAACTTAAGATTTGTACAGATAAAAGCTTGCCTTCTAAAATACTTGGAAAGTGCTGCTAGAATCCTGAGGTAAACATGCTTTCACAAAAAATCTTGGATTTATATGTAAAAAAAAAAAAAAAAATCAAAACGTCGAGTAAGGTTTCGTGCAAATGTGTGGAATAATTATTTTCTTGTACGGAAAGTAGGATTCTAGCAGCACTTTTTTTTAGGCATAAAAGATGTTTTTGTTAGCTTTTATATTAAGGAATTTTTCGGTATTAATTGAAGTCATGTGATGACGTAGTATTGGTGAAAGTATTTTTTTTTATCTTTATGCAATAATTAATTATAGTTTATACTTTTTCAGCGGCTTTGGTATATTATTAAACTTATTCAATTTCCCGAGAAATGGCCTGAATGCTTCGTTTACATGCCCGCGAGGTGTATTACTTACTGTGCAAGCTTTTTTGCCTGGTTTGTTTGATAATGTTACTGTCTCAAATGAAATCTTTCGAGACATCAGCTCTGACCCAGTTTTCGGAGCGTCTTGATCCTTGAAGGCTTTATTCTTAAATTCTTTCCTTTTTTTCCCAAATGGAACCCATTTATTGTCGATGAACTTGAAACGTTTTTCGGTATCGGGTATGATGTCGAAAATGACATCATATAGTCCAGAAGGATCAAGGCCGCTTAAGAAAAATTCAACGTATGGATACATTCTCCTGAAATAAGTAAGAATTAAAATTCCCCTTGATACCTACTGTATGTTTCTTCTTCATTAAATTGCAGTATTTATAAAATAACATGAACAAATGAAATGACTGATAATTCTCAAAAATATCTGCAATATAATAAAATTGGTTGTATTACTATTATAGTATATCACAGGGACGACAAAAATCACATAAAATGAAATTTAAAGCAGTTGCTTTTAGGTTACTGAATGCAGCATTCAATGAAGCAGAAATCGAGCAACCCCCTCCCCCCTTCCAAAAAAAAAATGAAAGAGGAAATGTATAATAATTTTATACCAGTAAACAACAACCTTTATAACAAGTCCGAAGATTTTCCCCACGTTACTGTCTACTGTATACAGGATTATTTTCGCCCTTTTGAACTTGTTAACAATTTTGCCATGTTTTAAATTCGCCCAGTCATAGTTCTGTGTAAGAAATTATGAGGTGTAATTTGATTTCGCCCAATTTTAAATTCGCACAATCAAGGAGAGGGCGAAAATAAATCAGGGGCGAAAATTTCCCTGTATACAGTACAGTTTTTATCTGACCTTGAAAAAAGGCAAGGGTAAAAAAATGAAATCATCTCGTTTAATCTTTACATTTTAAATATTCATATGTCATTTGTCAAAAGGATCTAGAGTGAAATATATGGTGATAATGAATAGTATTCAAGACATTACATTCATAAACTACAAACCTTCCAGACTTTGAGATAATCATTTCCGTCCCTACTTTCAAGAACTCGTGCCAAAGTTTTCTTTCTGTCATCGACATTGTAATGGCTCCACTGATAATAGGAATGCAGTTTCCTTTATCATCAGCAAAATCATCTTTGAATGTTCCAACGTTCGATATAGAACTCTCCCCGGCAGAGTAACCAGAAAAGCTACAGGAAATTGCGTCATTTTTACCAACATCAGTATCAAATTGAAAAGTCATGGTGTCCATAATTGATGACCTCAAAAGCAAGCTAATTCTGGAAGGAGGATGAAATTGATGAATTTCTTTTATGTAAACCTTTCCTGTTTCTCCTATTTCTAGTATTTTGAATACTTCTTTCCGTCTTCCTTGGATTATAGAGGTCTGTTTCTCCTTCAGTCTCTAGAAAAATTTAACGTGAATTAAACACTACATGAAAGAATGCAAGATTGGCCATTGCATAGAGCATTACGAAAATAAAGTAAGAATTATAAAAATGGTGGTTTGAAATTGCAGTTGCATATCACATGTTTTTGATTTGATAGTTGTAAATTTTACATAACAGTAGCTTCAGTAAAAAAAATACAGGGAAGAAACAAATTAAATGCATGTTCTAAAAATAAAAAGCAGAAATTATTTTATAGAAAAAAGACTTTAGTCTGATTTTTACAAGTGCAACCTTTAAGAAGTTGACCCCCCGCTGGAAAAAAGGCCATTTGTCCCAAAAGATTGATACAAAGTCCAAAAGAGATGATTGATGCCAAAGATGATGATTATGATTAATACCAGACAACACGAATTAAAATTTTGCATATTTATTTGCATTACAGTTTTTCATTTTAATAGACCTATTGTGTTCTAAGCACACAATTAAAACTGCACAATAGTATGGCAAGTCAAACGTTGCAATATTCGATCTTTTCCATTTGTATTGTATAATTTTCATATATTTTTATTCTATAATTTTCCATTTGTATTGTATAATTTTTCATTTGTATTGTATAATTTTTATTTGCATTGTATAATTTTTATTTTTATTCTATAACTTTCCATTTGTATTGTATAATTTTTCATTTGTTTTGTATAATTTTTCATTTGCATTGTATAAATTTTCATTTGCATTGTATATTTTTCATTTGTATTGTAAAATTTTTTTTCATTTGTATTCTATATTTTCCATTTGTATTGTATAATTTTTCATTTGCATTGTATCCGAGGGATTGTTCATTTTGATTTGTTACGAAGGATTTCATTGGTTTAATCTAGTCATATATCGGTTTTGGTAATATCCGAGATATTCCGGGAAGTTTAGACGTGTTATCCAGCCTGAGCATTCAGTGCAAGGAGCATTTTTTCCGCGGAAAAAAATAAAATGGATTTATGGCCTGTAGGGATATTAGAACAAAGAAAAAAGCATTTAGTTTTACCAAGTTATGCTCATAGCTTCTCACAACAAACCGGGTCCGTAGGACACTTTTTTTTTCTTTGGTCGAATAATATTATGGTGTTGCTGTTCAAATCTCTTCTGTCTAAGCTTGTTCAATCGAGGGAGTTTTAATATTGACTATTCTGTGTCACAGACGCTAGTCTTGTTTCAGTAATATTTTTTTAGCCCATAGTACAATTATTATAATATGGGTTAAAATTAAAGCCGTCCTACGGACCCGGGTTTCTTGTGAGAAGCTATGAGCATAACTTCTTCTTATCTTATTATGTAGAAATATTCAACTATCGCCTGCATGTGGTGTTTATGTCTCCCAACTTATTCGTCTGTAGAATAATCAACTTTAAAACAGAAGCAGGATACAGACAAATAAGGTTATGCTTTGGGGCTTTCAACATTATCAATCAAACTTGGTATTTCAAAATTCAAGGGTTATTATAATGAAAACGTTCATAAAACATTTTGTAATAAACTTAAGAAAAAAAGGGCAACTACCTTTCATAATACAGAACACTTGATGCAAAAGTATGGTGCAATTGGAGCCCAGAAATAAGTAAAATTGTTCAGAGAAATTAGGAGAAATAGTTCTTGCAAGTTAGTTTGTGTTCGGACGAACATAATGGTATTTGTGGAAAAAAATGAAACCTATCAAGACAAAGAAGAATATTTAAGCTCGAAAGTACACTCAAACAATACAAATCAGGAGCAGAACAAACACGGACATCTTAAACATTATACATTGTAGAAGGGTTCAAGTGCCATGGAGGAGTTAGTATCGCTTGCCGACCGGATACATCCGCCGTGGTTTTGGAAATTCGGACAAATTGTTTAAAGACCTGGTCTCCATAAAACACATACTGTGAAATCACTTACTTTTGGAGGGGGTTGTGGTTCTTATTGTTTTCGCAATATGGAGAGACCCACGAATTTATGATCACCATGAACTGTTGAATGTAATATGCATTGTCACTCAACACGTACTTCTCCAACAATGTAATCCAATTCCCACTTATCAGGAATTTTTTTCTCCCCCCCCCACCACCAAGTTTTCCCCTCCAAAAATATGTGATTTTACAGTATATAATGTTGATCAGAAATTAAGCATCAACATTTACAGAGTACTTATCTTTACAAACTACAAACAGATTTTTTAAAAATAATTTGGCAGATAACCGATGACAAAGTAATATAATTTCATAAGTTCATTTTTATTGAAAAGCAGCTGTCAATGATGTCAAATATTCCTGACTTTAAATTATGGTGGGGTATCGTTGTATATACGAGGGTTATCCCAAAAAGCCATAGACAATGTTTATAACTTTGTTAACATGAAACCAATATCGACCAAATTTTGCATAGACATAATGAATTCAATGTTCTTTTAAATTACATATCTTTCATATTAATAGTATTGGGACGATTTACATGAAGGCCGATATAGTCTGTCGGCGCACGGACAAAATTCGGAACAATTTACGCATATCATGATTAAATTTGCTTTTATGTCTTTAGTACTATGTTAAATATTGAACTCAAATTTAAATCAGTGAAACCAGAATAAAATTGTAACAACATGTCAAATTTTCATGTAAATAGCATTAGAAACAGACGATTGGTGTCATGATTTCCTGTGTTATTGGAATCGAGTTTGATTAAAATGACGTCATCAAACGCGTAACTGTCGCACAGAGATTTAATAAATTGTTAAGGATATTGTTTATTTACATCAGAGACGGGAAAAAAGAGTACAGAAGTGACATTACAAACTAGATTCTAATAGAGATGTTGTTTTTAAATGGTATGAGATTCAACGATAGTTTTTCCTCTATACCGAAAATAGTTACTGCATGTAAGAAGTAGAATACTGTTTGTTTAACACATAGAGTGGGGCACGATCTGGGACACGAATAACGTCAAACAATGTTTATTCTCTTGTGCCTACATGGTAAGGTGATCTTTCGACTAAATTTCGACTGAAATGCTAAAACAAAAACAGACAGTAAAGAATTTAAATAAGTCTCTTAGTCAGGAGTGATTCTTTCACTGAAAAAAAGCAACTATTTAATGTAACAAAATCGTGTGAAGCAGAAAAAGATATCATGACTTATATGAAACGTAAATTACGCTTGCTTTCATGCGGTGATCACCTGCATGCTTTCTTTATTTTCTCATTTTTTTTCTTCAAATATCCGCACCTCTTCTAAGATATATTGTTCCATAGAACGCTTGATAGAACATTTACTGGAATACAGTTTGTATCTTTGCTGTAAAAGATTTTTATGAAGTTTCATTATTTTTTCGGGCGTTAAAAAATAATTAATATTTTGTTTGAAATTGTTCAGACAATCCGTATGTATACTTATACAATTAAGCGAAGTACATCTATGTTCGCATCTTCTTTGAACAAGACTCTCTCTCTCTCTCTCTCTCTCTCTCTCTCTCTCTCTCTCTCTCTCTCTCTCTCTCTCTCTCTCTCTCTCTCTCTCTCTCTCTCTCTGATGAAGGAAAACGCTCAGGAAATTAAGCATGAATATAAATTATATTATATATCAATTATAGGACCTCGTCCTTTTTTAGATTGGAAAGTTCAATTTTTGAAAAAAAAATCATGCATGAACTTTGGGCATTATTCACTAGCCTGAAAGGAAAGAAATCATTTCAACATTACTTATTTTAAATGGCATACATGTAATAAGATAGATAATTAACACAATTAGCACCTATCACACACGTTAAACAGAAAACAGCATTGTGAACACAATTCAGGGCCATTGAGCAGTGACGATTCTTTATCGTGTCAATGCCTACCGTCACACGGTTTTAAGGCCTCATTTAAAGTCATTTTATATTATTGAAAAAGCTTAGCTACATATCAATCAAAAGCAAACACGTACACAAAAATGACTTTTGCTCCTCAAATTTACACATGTCTTTTAGTCCTAAAAGTCGTTTGAGTAGTTTATGAAAACACCCAAGGTGAAAATAGAAGCAAGAAAGAAAAAACAATAATAAGAATAAAACCCTTAAAACAATATGTTTTCAGACTTTTTAAAGCTTTATAGTAAACATTTTTTAATATTGAATCGAATACTCACTTTTTCTTCGTGATTTAGTCTTGTCTTTTAGGATGCCTTAGTAGACTGCTCAATACAAAACGGTTGTGTGCTAGTTTTATACACTTGTAAATAATATCTTAAAATTATATTATCCAATCAATACATTCTCTACACCTATTACATTTAATTCTTCAATGAAATACTCCACAATATTAAAAAGGCGGGGCTTAATTTATATTATTTATGCTTACATTGCCATAAAATCTATAATATTTTGATAAGATCAATAAAATACTAGTATGCCAAAACATTAAGGCAGGACTTAATGTACACGTATATTGATTCTGTTAACATGTACATTGACATAGAAATTTCAGATTTTAATGAGGATTGCAATTTTGAAACAGCCTCGCCCCCTCCCCACCACACACAACTTTTAACACTCACTATAGCGAACAAAAACACTTTTTGCAATATACATATAAAAACAAAGCCTTTTGCAGGCTCTTTACACTTTTTAATCAATTTTACTTATTGCCTAAGCCAAAAAAGGACTGAGACTTACCAAAGAGTTTTGAATATGTAAACAGCTTTGATTAAAAAAATTTAGTCGTAAAATAAAAACGAAGTCATAAAAATGATGAGGTTTTCTCTTTATGCACTTCAACAACGGTCCTACTTTTTGACATGTCTACTGTCCCCTGTGTGGTCTTCATTCTGTGTCTCCCTCTGTCTGTATG